ACTCCTCCCCTGGCGTCAATGATGATTAGTCATCGTTTGGTGTTGTGATAACAGTGAACTGTGCGTTTTTTTTTTTTGCGCCACAACCCACCCGGGATATGAAATAAACCATACACAACCAAATCCATACCTACCAAGCAGCCGACCAGCGAGAATTGAATATGACGAACAACAGATATGCATAAGGAAAGTTCTTCTGGTTGTTATTGTTCGTGGTGGTTGTGGTGCTGTCATTATTAATTCAAAAGAATTTATGTAGAAATCGTTGAGAACAAAAAATTGTATTTATTTATGTACAAATTTGGGAAGTGTTGCCTGCTCTTTTGATAAAGTAATCATTTATGAGAATCCAGAAATAAAAAACAACAACAAAAATTGAAGAGATTGAATATTGCAATCCACACATACAAATAGAAGATAAAGTTAATGGCCTTTCAGATAATCTGTGGTTATGGAGATCAATGGTAGCATTCTTTGGAGATAAATCCGTTAAAATCCAATATTTGGCGGAAGTGATAATTGCTTAAGAATATTTTTTATTCAGCTTCGCGGAATTTATGAAAAAATTAAATTTTACAGATCATATTTGCAGAAACCCAATAGGAAGTTTTATTCAGCTGGCCAAAATTGAATATTATCCATGGAAATTATAATTCAGCTGTGCTAAATTTAAAATTACATATAGGAAATCACATTCAGCGGGACTGAATTCCGTATTTACTATAAAACCCTTATTCAGCTGGGCAGAATTTAAGATTACTAATAGGAAATGTTATTCAGCTGGGCCAAATTGATTACCTATAGGAAACATTATTCAGCTGGACAGAATTGAAACTTACCTACAGGAAACCTTTTTCAGCTGGGCAGAATTGAAGCTTACCTATAGAAAACCTTATTCAGCTGTGCAGAATTGAAGCTTATCTATAGGAAACCTTATTCAGTTGGACAGAATTGAAGATTACCTATGGGAAACCTTATTCAGCTGGGCGGAATTGAAGATTACATATAGTACACCTTATTCAGTTGGGCGGAATTGAAGATTACCTATGGGAAATCTTATTCAGCTGGGCAGAATTGAAGCTAACCTATAGAAAACCTTATTCAACTGGGCAAAATTCCAGATTACCTATATGAAACCTTATTCAGCTGCGCAAAATTGAAGCTTACCTATAGGAAACCTTATTCAGCTGGGCGGAATTCCAGATTACCTATATGAAACCTTATTCAGCTGGGCAGAATTGAAGTTTACCTATAGGAAATATTATTCAGCTGGGCAGAATTGAAGCTTACATATAGGAAAGATTTCTCCGCTGGTCAGGATTGAAGATTACAAATAGGAACCATTATTACGCTGAGCAGAATTGAAGATTACCTATGGGAAATCTTATTCAGCTAGCCAGAAATGAAAATTATCTATAGGAAACCATATTTAGCTGGGTACAATTGAAGACCACCTATAGAAAATCTTATTCAGCTATTGGAAAAAAAATTCAGCTGGACCGAATAAAAAATTACATATAGGAAATTTATTCAGCTGGAAAGAATTCCAAATTGAATTTGTACATATAGGAAACCTTATTCAGCTGAGCAGAAATGAAAATTACCTATATGAAATCTTATTCGCCTGGGCCGAATTGGAGATTATGTGTAGGTAAACATTTTAGCTTTTCAGCAAAGCAGAAATGAAGATTGCCTATAGAAAATCTTATTCAACTGGGCTGAATTGAAGATAACCTATAGAAAATCTTATTCCGCTGAGCACAATTGAAAATGTCCTACAGAAAATCGTATTCAGCTGATCTGAAGCAAAGATTACGTATAAGAAATCTTATTCAGCTGTGTAGAATTGAAGATTACCTATAGGAAATCGTATTCAGCTAACCTCAATTGATGATTGTCTATAGAAAATCTTTTTAATTGAGCTGAATTAAAGATACCCTATAGGAAATCCTATTCAGCTAAGCTGAATTAAAGATAAACTGTAGGAAATCTTTTGTAACTGAGCTGAATTGTTGATATCACTTAAGAAATCATATTCAGCTAGGCTGAATTGAAATTAACCTATAGCAAATCTAATTCAGCTGGGCTGAATTAAAGGAAACCTATTAATAATTCTATTTAGCTGAGATGAATTAAAAAATTTCCAATAATTGATATTCTAAAAAAAATGTCCATTACTTTATGTAAAGCAATTTAGGTCATTTGTCTAATTAATGCCCCCCTTTGGGTAGCCACTTAGACCACCAATCGACTTTGTCATGCGCCCTAATTTCCAAAATTGTAAACACAAATGCTATGATTTTCAAGTACCATTGCGCCTACATTACATTATAAATAAACAAAACTTCTTCCATCCAGGTGTACATAGATAATTACATACTTGATGAAAATTACCTCCTCTTAACTCGCACTCACCCATCCTCAATTGCCTGCCCCCATCCTCGTCCCTTAACGCGTTCTTCAAATCACAACATTTTTTGTTTATTTAACACCCAAAGTATTTTGTAATAACCTTCATAAATCTCTGTTGTTCTACTCAACTCACACTTTACGCTTCACACACCCATACACGCATAGACGACGTTCGCACACGGACCCACACACACACACACACACTCACACTTTTCTATGTCATTTTACATATTTGGTAAGTGCAACAGTTTCAATAGCACAACCACCACCAACAACAACAGCATAAATATTTCCAATAGATATGGGGGTCTGCTGATTTTTTGTAAACAACTTAGCAATGTTTTGTCATTGTGGGTCTAACCCACATCTTCTTTCTCTGTGAAACATTCATCCGTTCCCTCAGTCAGTCCGCCAGTCATTCTTTCATTCATTCATTGATTCGAAAGAGTTGTGACATTATGTTGCTGCTTGTTTGGTTCATTGGTTGGCTGCCTGAGCATTCAACCATGTCATGTAGCGCCGCCATCAATGTTGTCATTGTTGTCGCTCGGTCGGTTATTCCGACGATGGTTGGTTGTTTCATTGGTAAAATCGGTTAGTTGAAACTGTTGTTTCTGCTGTTGCTGCTGTCATCTGTTGTCATTGTTATTTGTTTTTATTAGATTTGCCCTCGAAAATGTAAATGAAAAATAAAATACCCCGCAACACATGTTGTGACAGTCAGTCTGTCCGTTTGTCGTTTTATGAGTTTCAATGTCTTTCTTTGCCATACCCTACATTGAGTTGTGTTAGAAAAGCTTGGTTGAATTGCAGATTTCATATTGAAAATCTAATTCAGCTGGACTGAATTGAAGATTTCCTCGGGAAAATCTAATTCAACTGTGCTGAAATGAAAATTGTATGTAGAAAATCTTATTCAGCTGAGCTGAATTGCAGAATACCTATAGGAAAACATGTTCAGCCAGGCTGAATTGCAGATCACTCTTTGGAAATCTTATTCAGCCACGCTGAATCGCAGATTAACTATTGGAAATCTTATTCAGACGAGCTGAATCGCAGATTATCTATATGAAATCTTAGTCAGCCATGCTGAATTACAGAATACCTACAGGAAATCTTATTCAGCCAGGTTGAATTGCAGATTACCTATTGGAAGTCTTATTCAGCCATGCTGAATTGCAGATTATCTATAGGAAATCTTATTCAGCCAGGCTGAATTGCAGATTACGCATAGGAAATCTTATTCAGATAGGCTGAATTGCAGAATTTAGCTCAGCTGAATTGCAAATTACTCCAGGGAAATCATTTTCAGCTAGGTTGAATTGCAGATTACCCATATGAAATCTTATTCAGCTACGCTGAATTGCAAATTAACCATACGAAATCTTATTCAGGGGATCTAAATTGAAGATTGCTTAAAGGAAATCTTATTCAGCTATGAACAAGTGAACATAATTGCAGATTTTCCTTATAGAATTATATTCAGCAGAGCTGATATATTATTCAGCTTCAATTAAAAATGGCATACAATTGATCTGAATTAAAGATTTCATGTTTAAGTTTTATTCAGCTGGGTTGAATCGAAGAGTACCTATTTGACTTGGTTGATTTGAACATAACTTATAAAAAATCATATTTAGCTGGGTTTAATTGAAGATTGCCTATAGGAAGTCATATTCAGCTGGGCTGAATTGCAAATTTCCGGATAGAAATCGTATTCAGCTGGGTTGAATTGCAGATTACTTATGGGAAATCTTATTCAGCCAGGCTGAATTGCAGATTACCTATAATAAATCTTATTCAGCCAGGCTGAATTGCAGATTACCTATTGGAAATCTTATTCTGCCGAGCTGATTTGCAGATTACCTATATGAACTCTTATTCAGCTACGCTGAATTGCAAATTAATCATATGAAAAATTATTCAGCGGATCTAAATTGTAGAATGCTTAAAGGAAATCATATTCAGCTATGAACAAGTGAACAGAATTGCAGATTTTCCTTATAGAATTATATTCAGCAGAGCTGAGTTTCAGGATATATTATTCAGCTTCAAATAAAAATGGTATACAATTAATCTGAATTAAAGATTTCATGTTTAAGTCTTATTCAGCTGGGTTGAATCGAAGAGGAATTCATATTCGACTTGGTTGATTTGGACTTCAGCTGGGTTTAACTGAAGATTGCCTATAGGAAGTCATATTCAGCTAGGCTGAATTGCAGATTAACTATAGGAAATCTTATTCAGCTGAGCTGAATTGAAGATTGCCTATGGGAAGTCAAATTCAGCTGAGCTGAATTGCAGATTCCTTATAGGAAATTATATTCAGCTGGGCTAAATTGCAGATTCCCCATAGGAAATCTTATTAAGCTAAGACGAATTAAAGATTACCTATAGGAAATCTTATTCAGCTAAGCAAAATTCAAGTTTACTTATGGGAAACTTCAGCTAGGCTTAAAAGCAGATTTATTTTATAAAATATTAACTAGCTAGACTATGTAAAGGTTATAGACCAGTCGACCATACCGTCTATAACCTTTACTTCTTATTATTGCATTTCAAATATTTTTGCATATTGATTTCATTTGTTTATCTCTCTTCTTCTTCGCTTGTCCTTTCTTGCAGATAGCCCCCAAATTGATGTCTATGAATTTCTAACAGAGGCCGAATTGCAACATTACTACAATGCTGTCAAGTAAGTATCGACAATAACAGAATATGAAAAACTTTTAACAAGAAAATATAGAGGGGGAGGACCCGGGGGTTGGCAACTGTATCGATTAGAGACATTTTAGTCACCCACATATTTTACGCATTCCAGCCAAGCCATGTGCATCCGTTAGACATTTGAGAGTGCCACAATATCCAAAACAGAATCACCCAAACGAACAATGAATGCAAATGCAAAGCAGTGGCAGCAAGCACAAGCAATCAAATCAAACAAATTCATCCCACTACATTGCTTCTCCAGCAATACCGCACCAACACTACCACAGAACAATGCATCTAAAAAGTTCCAATGTGAACTCTGAGTGCAATGTGCGCTGCTGCGTTTGAAGGCAAAACATTTGACTTGTTGGTGTGTTTTTTTCTGTTTTCTTGTTACAGTATCATGTCTCAATATAATGGAGCGGAATTGAAGATTTCGTAATAGAAATCTTATTCAGCTGGGATGACGTGAAGATATCCTATGGGAAATCTAATTTAGCTGGCCTAAACTGCAGATAACCTATAGAAAGTCTTATTCAGCTAGGCTTAATTGCCGATTACTTATATGAAATCTCATTCAGCTAGGCTGAAATGCAGATTGTCTATAGGAAATCTTATTCAGCTAGGCTGAGTTGCAGATTACCTTTAGGCTGAATTGCAGATTACCTATAGGAAATCTTATTCAGCTAGGCTGAATTGCAGATTACCTATAGGAAATCCTATTCAGCTAGGCTGAATTGCAGATTACCAATAGGAAATCTTATTCAGCTAGGCTGAATTGCAGATTACCAATAGGAAATCTTATTCAGCTAGGCTGAATTGCAGATTACCTATAGGAAATCTTATTCAGCTAGGCTGAATTGCAGATTACCTATAGAAAGTCTTATTCAGCTAGGCTTAATTGCCGATTACTTATATGAAATCTCATTCAGCTAGGCTGAAATGCAGATTGTCTATAGGAAATCTTATTCAGCTAGGCTGAGTTTAGGCTGAATTGCAGATTACCTATAGGAAATCTCATTCAGCCATGCTGAATTGCAGATTACATATAGGAAATCTTATTCAGCCATGCTGAATTGCAGATTACATATAGGAAATCTTATTCAGCCAGGCTGAATTGCAGATTACATATAGGAAATTTTATTCAGCTGGGCTGAATTGCATATTACCTATCAGAAATCTTATTCAGCTAGGCTGAATTGCAGATTACCTATAGGAAATCTTATTCAGCTAGGCTGAATTGCAGATTACCTATAGGAAATCTTATTCAGCTAGGCTGAATTGCAGATTATCTATAGGAAATCTTATTCAGCCATGCTGAATTGCAGATTACATATAGGAAATCTTATTCAGCCATGCTGAATTGCAGATTACATATAGGAAATCTTATTCAGCCAGGCTGAATTGCAGATTACTTATAGGAAATTTTATTCAGCTGGGCTGAATTGCATATTACCTATAGGAAATCTTATTCAGCTGGGCTGAATTGCAGATTACCTATAGGAAATCTTATTCAGCTAGGCTGAATTGCAGATTACCTATAGGAAATCTTATTCAGCTAGGCTGAATTGCAGATTACCTATAGGAAATCTTATTCAGCTGGGCTGAATTGCAGATTACCTATAGGAAATCTTATTCAGCTACGCTGAATTGCAGATTACCAATGGGAAATCTTATTCAGCTACATTGAGAGTCGTATTTAGCTTAACTGAATTGCGGAATTCTAGAAAACTTCAGAAAATTCCCATTACTCAGCCAACATGACAACCAACCACTGTGTAATGGACCCATATTGTCCCATGATTGAAAGTATTTTTCTTTATTTAATTCTGTTTTGCCTGAGCTTGATCTGTTTATATAGTGTTTCTTTGTTGTTCGCCTTCTTGCTGTTGTTGCCGTCACTGCGAACATTTCCATTTCATACTCTTACCCACACACACGCACATTTACATTGAGATTCTTTACCTTTTTTGTTGCTTTCTTCCATTCATTCGATTTCTTTTCATTTTTCATTTTTACACAGAGATGAACTTAAGATTACAAATGCCTCACAATTCAAATATGCCACCGATGAAGATCTCAAAAGCATCGGTATGTCACGACCGGAAATACGACGTTTACGTAAATTCTATGAAAAGCACTTTCCACATGGCTACTTGAGCAAAATCAAGCGTTTGCTGCAGGCACCCACAGCGATTGGCGGCAAACGGGAGGAGAATTCCGGTTGTACACCCAGCGCCACCATGGCCAGTCCTTCGGGTAGCCTAAGTGGTACATCAACGGGCGGAGCCTCGTCAAAGGCGAGCAGCAGTTCACCGAATAAGGCACCCAACAATAAGCACATCATTCCCGCCGATGCCATCAGTGTTAACAAACAATTGGGCACCGGAGAGTTTGGCATCGTACAGCAGGGCGTATGGACGAACGGATCGGAGAGGGTAGGTATTCGAACAAACACACGCACACACAAAAGACGATGGAAAACATGAGGAAATGAAATGTTAACAAGTAGCATGTCTTCTTCAAATAAACATTTCCTTTTTTCGAAATCAATTTCATTCATGTTTTTCTTTTGTCCGGGAGGACAAAAATAGAGAATCAATTTACGAAGCGATATGAAACCAAAGTGATTTAAGTTGTAGTTATTTTTTTTGTTGAATTGGATAATTAATTTAACTTGGTTGAATAACAAGATTTTTTTGTGGAATTTTCTTTACAACTTTGCTGAATTGCAGAATATCTATGGAAAATCTTATTGCAGACATTATAAAGGAAATCTTATTCAGCCGGGCTGTATTGCAAATTACCTATAAAAAATCTTATTCAGCCGGTCTGAATTGCAAATTACCTATAGGAAATCTTATTCAGCCGGGCTGAATTGCAGATTACCTATAGGAAATCTTATTCAGCCGGGCTGAATTGCAGATTACCTATAGGAAATCTTATTCAGCCGGGCTGAATTGCAGATTACCTATAGGAAATCTTATTCAGCCGAGCTGAGTTGCAAATTACACATAGGAAATCGTATTCAGCCGAGCTGAGTTGCAGATTACCTATAGGAAATCGTATTCAGCCGAGCTGAGTTGCAAATTACACATAGGAAATCGTATTCAGCCGAGCTGAGTTGCAGATTACCTATAGGAAATCTTATTTAGCCCTGCTGAATTGCATTTTACTTATAAGAAATCTTATTTAGTGGGCTAAATCGCAGAATTCCAATGGGAAAACATATTCAGCCGCGTCTAATTGCAGATTACCTATGGAAAATCTTATTCAGCTTAGCTGAATTGCATATTACTTATAAGAAATCTTATTCAGCTTAGCTGAATTGCAGATTACCTATGGAAAATCTTATTCAGCTTAGCTGAATTGCATATTACGTATAAGAAATCTTATTCAGCTTAGCTGAATTGCAAATTACCTATAGGAAATCTTATTCAGCCGGGTTTAATTGCAGTTTACTTATATGGAATCTTATTCAGCCGGGCTGATTTGCAGATTACCTATAGGAAATCTTATTCAGCCGGGGTGAATTGGAGATTACCTATGGAAAATATCATTCAGCTAAGCTGAATTGCAGATTAGCGATAGGAAATCTTATTCAGCGGGGCTGAATTGCAGAGATCCCAAAGGAAATTTTATTCAGCCGGGACGAATTGTTTATTAGATATTTTTATTCTAACATTTAATATTTTTCTATTTTCTACAGATCCAAGTGGCCATTAAATGCCTCTGCCGCGAACGCATGCAATCAAATCCCATGGAATTCCTTAAGGAAGCTGCTATTATGCATTCCATAGAACATGAAAATATTGTACGCCTCTATGGTGTGGTATTGGCCACCGATTCCCTAATGTTAGTCACAGAATTGGCCCATTTAAGATCATTGCTGGAATGTCTCAAAGACCCTGGACTGAGAGTGAGTTTTCTCACCGTACCAACACTGTGTGAATTTGGCCTGCAAATCTGTAATGGTATGCGTTATTTGGAGAATAAAAGATTGATACATAGGTAAGACATGGAACGAAGTCCACAAGCCCGTAGCAAACAATTATAATTTTTTTATATCTTGCTTACAGAGACTTGGCCGCCCGTAATATATTGGTATTCAGCAAAAACAAAGTAAAAATATCCGATTTTGGTCTCTCGCGAGCCTTGGGTGTCGGCAAGGATTATTATAAGACTAATTTTAATGTTAATCTCAAACTGCCCATTGCCTGGTGTGCCCCGGAATGCATCAATTATTTACGTTTCACAAATGCCTCAGATGTGTGGGCTTATGGTGTGTGTTTATGGGAAATGTTTTCGTATGGTTTTCAACCATGGGCAGCATTGACCGGCCTGCAGATACTCGAGGCCATTGATGCTCCTAATTATCAGGTGGGTGAAATATTGAAAAATGTTCTTGGATAATTTTAAAAAATTTGTTTTTATTTTTAGCGTCTGGAACAGCCGGAATGTTGTCCCCGAGAATATTATACCCTTATGATGAAATGTTGGCAAGATGATCCCTCAAAGCGGCCCAAATTTTCGGAGATTTATGAAATGTTACCCGACATGAAGCCAGAACAATTAAAGGCTGTTGCCAATTGCCTAGAGGCCAAAACCAATGAGCATTTAATTTATCGTCAAAATGAGATTATCACAGTATTGGATCGTAACACCGGTACACCCTATTGGAAGGGTGTATTGAATTCAGGTAAAACGGGATTTTTTAATCCATCCAATACCGTGGCATATGTCGAAGGTCTTCCAACTTTAAATAGGTAAAAACAATATGAAGCAAATATATAGGGTTTCCGACAAGAGGTGGTGTTTAGAATTTCCCGGAAGCTAACTCTTTTCAAGCTTCCGAGGGCAGTAAAATTTCATGATTAGAAAATGAACCTGAAGCCTGATCATGCTGGCCATTTTATCTAATATTATTTTTAATTTTGAACGGCATATCTTCCTTATTTATCTTCCTTTTTATTTTATGAACAAAAAAACATCTGGCCATTTATCTCTTTGAACTCCAAAAAAACACCTCTTATTGGACCCCCTATATTACCCCCAAAATATATTTCAAGAACTTCAAATAATCTAATTCCCTTGCAGAGATACATTTACACGAAATGCCAATGAACGTAGCAGTAAACGTAAATTACGCACTGAAATGATTTCCAAACCTCAAAACGATTTTAAACATACCGGCCATGTTGGCATCGATGGAGCTTCCTTTGGTGATATTGCATTTTTAGGTACCACACAAAATGTAAGTCCTTCAAAGCAACCTCTAAATTTTTTTCTTATATTAAAATATATTTCGATTTCTCCCCCACAGTACAATCACGTGCCACGACAAATAGTCACCCCCTACAAACCCTCTGAGGATATTGAACAAACACCTCTGCTACTGCCACCCACACCAACTAGTCCTGACTCATTGCAAACAGCAAGTGGATATTTCGCAGATGATTCATCGCATCACAATTCCACGATGAATCCCTCATTTATACCCTCCACCGAAAATACACCCAAACAATTTAGTAACAATGGTCAAACAACAACATTTGAATTTCCCTCCAGTAATACAAATCCGTTTACTCACAAATCTATGGATGATAGTACTTCATCTGCATCGACATTGGCATTACAGAATAATAATTATGGCATTGAGGCCAAGGAGAATTTGCTATGGCGTCATTCGGCGATTACAAATGGTTCATCGGCAACAGGTGGCAGTGGTGGTGTTCAATTTGAGGAACCTCATGAATATCATGAAATATCCGATGATGAAATAACACCCGACAAATTAGATTTTGGTCCTTCGCTATTGGATGAAATTAATTCAATGTTTGGTTCAATGAGTGCCACGGCGTCATCATCAAAAAACTCGGAATCTGAGTCACACAATAATAAGCGTAGTGATTTCTCCGATTTAACCTCAAAGTTAATACGTAAAAACAGTGGTGGTCACAACTCCAAAAAATCGAAAAATTCCAGTGGCACTGTTAAACCCATTTCGGTCAAGGATGAAAAGATACTCAATCAGGCCATTGAAATTGCCAATGAAATTAGTGCCAGGTAAATAACTTATTTTTAATTTATTTTTATTAAAATAATGAAATTCCTTTTTATGTAGATCCATGTGCGATTTGGTTTCCGATCAAACACCCTCCACCCAAAGTCCCAAACGAAAATTTAGTTTCCGTTTTCCCCATCTAAGTGGTGGCCATGGCAGCAGCGGCAGCGGTGACAAAAGCCATGGTTCTAGTCTACATAGTTCAGGCACAAGTGGCTCCACAACTAATGTCAACTCTTTGTCACCACATTCGAAAAAGAAAAACTTCACCGAAGAACTGAAGAGTATACCAGATTTACAGGTATGTTAAGCTCAATGATTTTATGGGGAAATTTAAAAAATATATTTATATATAATCGAGATGTTTATGAGGCAAAGTTTGTCGTTAGATATGGGATGTGGATTCCAGCTTTTGAGAATCCACATCAATAGAAAAAAGGGACAATGTAGAAGAGGCGAAATAGGTTCCGCTAAATAAGCGACCCTAGGTTTTAGGTTACCCTAATCTAAAAGTGATACCTGAGCGTCTCAAATCTTTTTCCAGAGCCATCATACTGAGTAAATTTTCAAGGTGTATTTTTGTGGTACTCTATTGAGGCGTAGATTTTTTAAAACCATATAAAAAGAGGCGTAGATTTGTATACCCTTCACCACACTGTGGTACAGGGTATTATGTATTTGTGCATATGTTTGTAACAGGCAAAAGGAAACGAGATAGACACCTGGTTCTTTTTGAGAATATGCATAAAATCACTTTCTGAGCCGATTTATGCATGTCCGTCTGTCTGTTCATGTTAAATTGTAAACAAAGTACAGGTCGCATTTATGATCCGAATTGGATGAAATTTGGCACAGGTCACATATTTGGCCCAAGGACAAACCCTATTGAAAGTTGGAAAAATTGGTTCATATTTAGATATAGCTCCCATATATATTTTCGTCCGATTTAAGGTATAGCTCCCATATTATTTAGATATAGCTCCCATATATATTTTCGTCCGATTTAAGGTAAATGGTGCACCTAAGTCCCTATATATCCTTCGATTTGCACGAAATTTGGCACAGCGTACTGAACAAAGTCTAAAATAATGTGTGCTAATTTTCGTGAATATCGGTTCAGATTTAAATATAGCTCCCATATATTTTCGTCCGATTTTATGTAAATGATGCACCAAAGTCCCTATATTTCATTCTATTTGCACGAAATTTGGCATAGATTACTGAATTAAACCTATAATTTCTCTAAGGCTCTATAAGGCGTAGATTTTGAATCAATACTTTTTACAAGGCTCTATAAAGCGTAGATTTTTAAACAATACTTTTTCTATGGCTCTATAAGGCGTAGATCTTTAAACAATACTTTATCTAAGGCTCTGTAAGGCGTAGATTTTTAAACAATACATTTTCTAAGGCTCTATAAGGCGTAGATTTTGAAACAATACTTTTTGTAAGGCTCTATAAAGCGTAGATTTTTAAACAATACTTTTTCTAGCGTAGATTTTTAAAGAATATTTTTTCTAAGGTTCTATGAGGCGTAGATTTTTAAAGAATATTTTTTCTAAGGTTCTATGAGGCGTAGATTTTTAAAGAATATTTTTTCTATAAGGCGTAGATTTTTAAATAATACTTTTTCTATAAGGCGTAGATTTTTAAATAATACTTTTTCTATAAGGCGTAGATTTTTAAATAATACTTTTTCTATAAGGCGTAGATTTTTAAATAATACTTTTTCTATAAGGCGTAGATTTTTAAATAATACTTTTTCTATAAGGCGTAGATTTTTAAAGAATATTTTTTCTAAAGTTCTATGAGGCGTAGATTTTTAAATAATACTTTTTCTATAAGGCGTAGATTTTTAAATAAGGCGTAGATTTTTAAATAATACTTTTTCTAAGGATCTATAAGGCGTAGATTTTTAAATAATACTTTTTCTAAGGATCTATAAGGCGTAGATTTTTAAGCAATACTTTTTCTAAGGCTCTATGAGGCGTAGATTTGTAAACAATACCTTTTCTAAGGCTCTATAAGGCTGTTGATTTTTAAACAATACTTTTTCTAAGGCTCTATAAGGCGTAGATTTTTAAAGAATACGACTTATTTATCTCGAACCCACATGCTTAGTTTTTACTAAGGCTTAGGTCGAACATTCATAAATCTTTTTAGGCTTAAATAATATATGGTATTTTAGAAAATTGTTATTAAGTAATAATTAATGAAATTACATTTTCTCTATTTTCTCTTTCTCTCTCTTTTTGCTCTCACTTATAAATTTGCCTTATGGTAAATAATTTTCGTATTAATCATTTTGAAATTAAAATTATGATTTATTTTTTAAATTATTTTTCGTTATTATATTTTAAATTATTATTTTGTGTTCATTACCAAAGTGTTTTCGCTCGATATCGAGTGACATGAACACAACCATTGAGACAACAACTGGCGATATACGCATACCCTTATTCGATAAAGAAAGTTCCGATTTTTGTTTTGAGAAATCGCGTGAAATATTGTCACGTCCTTTACAATTTGGTAGTCGTAGTTCGTTTACGGCACCAACACCACCGCCCTCGCTTGAATACACGGACGCATTTGCCCATGAACACGGATCACAAGCGGAACAAAGTCCTCGTCAAAAAGATAAAAAATCGTTGTCGGAAAATTTGCTCGATATTGAAAATACATTGAAAGCATTGAATTTAGATTTTATGCACACCTATACCGACGTGGATAAAAATGATTCGGATGAGACAATACTTAATGACCAATTTTCAAGTATTGTTTCATCGCTTGATGATGAGATAAGTAGTGCAACGGGTAGTTTGAATTCGGCCACCGTGTATAATTATCAAAATGGCAAACATACAACAACTACAACATTTGATTTTAAGGCCGCCACCAATCATTTAGATAAACATTTACAAATGATGAGTTCACAGGCAGGGGGAGGGCATCACATAAATAGTGGTGGCGGTGGTGGTAACAGTAATAAGCAACAACAACAAAGTTCCCATGACAAGAGATCAAGTACACCAGATACAGGATTTGCATCCAGAGATACCATATCATTGTCCCGTCGTAGTAGCCAGAAGTCTAGCTATAGTCCTCAGGATAGTTATTTTAGTCCCAAGGATTTAAGTTTCCCCTCGCCCAGTTTGTTGGGCAGTAGCGGAGGTGGGGCAGGCAATGGAAGTGGAGGTAGTGGTGGTGGCGGCGGGGGCTATGCCAATTATAAGGCGGAAATTTTCAAATACGGTGATGATAGTTTGGTTTCACCCTTTCGCTCCGGCATGCATAAATCAAGCAATACTTCTATATATTCCCCCAATCAGTTGCGAATCGAAGAGAACATGGATAACTACAATGGCATACAAATGCATCAGTCGCAGCAGCAGCAGCATGAACAACATAGGCGTCGTTCCATGTCTTTCACCGATCATTTAGATCGTGATGCAGCTGCTGCGGCAGCTAGAAAAGAAAAACGAAGCAATAAAACAAAGCAATTATCCCTAGATCCACAAGATATACAACATCGTCCCACAAAGTCTTCCTCTTACAAGTCGCGTTCAGTAAGGGCTCGCACCCTGAGACGTTTAAGCTATAATCCCATGCCTCAGGTGGCCACCAGTTCATCAAGCACCGATGAGGAAAGTGATATGGATCGTAGTATTGCTCGTTCAGAGTGTGATATACGCTCAAGGACCTCAGGGTCGGGTAGCCTTTACCCCAGGCGTAGACGACAAGCCTATAATAGGAAAGTTTTTTCCGAATCCATACAAGATGATCGTGATGATATTCATAATCGGAAAAGTAAAATATATGGTTCAAATGCCAGTATTAAATCCGCACCCCATTATAATTATGGTGGCGGCGGCGGAGGAGGAGGTGGTGGTTCTTCGCGTAATCCCATGGTTGGTTTGGGTGCATCTTCCAATTTACAACAACGTAACTATAATCGCAATCCCTATGAGGAAACATATCCATATGAGGAAAGGTTATATGATTTTGGTGGCAATGCTGGTGGTAAGCCAGCCAAGAAGGGGGGCTTCAACTTACCCATACTAAGTAATAAAGCCCCAAAAACATTCCAAGTTTCGGGTATTACCCAAGGTTCAGGATCGGGTTCATCTTCGGCCTCTTCAACGGCTGCACCGTATTCTCGAAATGTCATTGGCAATTCATCGGTATTTCAGGAGTTTGATGTTAGCCGTTTGACGGGACGTAGTCCACCCTCGGCCTATAATGATAATACGGAACACAATACGGGGGGTAATTCCACAAACGCCGAATTCCAGTGGCCAGAAAAAATCCATGCTTCCACAGTTAAACAAAATGATATGCTGTGGCGTCAGCAGCAGCAACATTCTTCCGGCTATGGGGCAGCAGCCGCTGCTGCGGCAGCTGTTACTATCACCAGTGTCAATGATCATCATCCTTCTTCCACATTGAGTTCTTCCACCACAGATAGTGATCAATTTGAATATCGTTTAGGTTATAGTGCACCCCATCACCATCATCTACCTCCGAGTCCTGCTCCATAGCTACAGCGTATGTTAAAATATTTTCTAAATTTACTTTGAGATTATATGCATTTTGCAGCGACAGCAGCAACAACAGAACCAAATCCATAATCACCCATCCATCAACCCCCATACTCTCATTTTTCTGACCATTGCATCCTGACCACACATAACTAAAGAATTTATTCCAAAAAAAAAATACAAAAATAACCGTTAGAAGAGTTTATACAAAAATACAATCAAGACAATAGTTGCTCTCTCTGGAAATATCCAATAAAAAACAACAAAAACAAATATATCCTATCTCTCAAATATTAAGGAGTGCCTTACAAAAATAATAAAAAAACACAACAAACACAAAATCATAATGATCATCAAAAACAACAACAACATGAACAACCAAAAGAAAGCACAAGCAAGAATTTCTGCAAAAACCAACCGAAATAATTATTCATTATATTACAATAACAACAACAACAAATCAAAAGGGTTTCTATTACACTGTAGAATGTTGGGATAATAAAAAAATATCCTTGTGAAATTTATTGATTTTTTGTAGCTGCAACAATATTTGCTAGTTTTTGCAAAGCCAAATAAAGAAAACAAATACTTTTATATTTTTTAAAGAGATTTTGGGATTTATTTGAAGACACCACATTCATCGATATCGAAATAAAACAAACAATTCTCACAGATATGATGTTTTTCACCAAGTGAAGATTATTTTTTATTTATTTGAAACAAAATAATCATTTTAGAATCTATAATTCCAGATAATCCAGAA